CTTTGCCCTTGACGGTCCCGGCTGCCTGAGGGGTGGAGGTGGAGTCATTAAGGAAGACCCTCCTTTAATCGCAATTGAGCTGGAACAGTAGATCACAGTCACACACACACACCAACCACACACAAATCAAGCCTTCTGCCCTCATCCTTCCTTGAAATCCACCTACCACGAATATATAAGGGGAGGGTCCGAGAGGGTTCAGGTGGTCTCTATTCATCAAGGTCTGAGGTTCTCAAAACCAGAGCCCCCTCCGCCCCAGATCCTCGAGAGCCCCCCCCCCATGCTAAAGTAAAACCAATTTACTGGCTCATTGGGCGGCAATGCTGGTGTGCGGATGCCGAGGAGCAGGGAGAGCGGCTGTTCTCCCCCTACACTCGAGGGGCGGCCCCCTCCCTAGCCTCACTGAGCCGGCAGCTGTCCCTAATTAGAGCGGCGGTTTAATTGGATTTATCAGCAGTTAATAGGAAATTAAGCAAAGGGCCCGAGAGAAGCGGGGCGGGAGGAGCTAGGGAAACAGGCTGTGCTGAGCTCGAAGGAGGGATGCTGGGGTACGAGGGGTGGGAACAAGTGGTCCATGGTCACACCCTCCCCTCAGTACTCACCACGACTGTTAAGCCTTGACCTGCGGGCGGAAAAGCAGGTCCCCAGAAAGGGCGGTGGGAGTGACAGTGACCCTGTGTGAGCTCCCAACGCCCTCCATCCCCTTAAGCGGCGCCTGGGTGATGGATGATACTGCCGCACGCTGCAAAGGTCATAAGTCTGGGCCAAGGAGCAGACTGAATTGAAAATAGATCTGAGGAAGGCCAGTACTGGGGTACAAGACACAACCTGCACCCTAACCTCCTTCACTGCCCACTCCACTCAACACACACACACACACACACACACACACACACACACACAGCACTCCTTGAAGTCGGAAGACTGGGGCAGCACTGGGGGGGGGCGGGGGGCGGAAGGCAGGATACAGAGTGACCCTCTCTATAACCCCCACCAGCAGGCGTTTTGGGGATCCTAAGAATCTCCTGGTATAGCTCCAAGGTTCCGTTTTTGCTCCCCCTTCCCCAAACTGCCCGAATTGGGGTCACTGGGGTTCATCGGGTCTGCCGCTCAGGGGCGGCCCAACATCGGCACTACCCGCCCTAGGGGCCAGTCAAGGAAGCTTGCAGGCAGCTAAGCCTGGGCGCAAGGGCTGCCTAGTCCACAGCCCCAGGCGCCTCCTGTCACCAAGACCTCATTATACTGCTACGCTAACAAGGCCTGCTCCAGAGACCCTGAAGACCTCCCTGTCACATTCCACCCCGCAGGGCACAGATGGTAACTCTTGCATATGCTAAGGTGTGCCAGCCTCTGAGTGGGTGTGGGTGGTCTCTCTGTGCCGCTGGCAATTATGGGCATCTGTATCCCGGGCGTGTGGTCTGTGTGTCCGCCTGTTCCTGGGTGTGTGTGGTGTCTACGTGAGCCCCAGGTGTGTCCAAATCTGTGCCGGGTGTGTGTCTGTTCCCCTGAGTGAGTCTATGTCTATCGAGTTTGTCCACTTCCCGCTCCCCGGCTCCCATCTGGGTAATTCTGTCCGGTGTGCCTCCGCGCGGGGGCGTTTCCGTGCATCTCCGCCTACAGGTTTGTATGTGTGAAAATCAGGAAGAGCCAGCGGGGAGTGTGTTGCTCTCGCGTCTCCGCCTGCAGGTATGTGTGTCTCGGTGACAGCGCGTGGGCGTGTGCCTGGGTGTGAGCCGCGCGGCGGCGTGTATCCGAATGACAGTGACGCACGTGTGCGCTCGCGTGTGTGTGCGCGCGCACGCCGGGATGAGTCTCCCGCCCCCCACTCCTTCCTTTCCCCATTCCTATTCCTCTCTCCTCTCCCGGTCGGCTCGGCTTCGCCGTCCGCATCATCTCCATCCATTATTGAAGAAACAGCCGCGTCCGCTCCAATCACATCAACACCCCCGCCCCCTTCCCGTTCCGCTCGCCCCGCGGCCCCTCTGGGTGCTGAGGAGAGGGAAAGCCAAGACGCGGTGGGGGCGCCGGGTGGGAACGGGCTTATGACCCTGTGCCTCAAGCCGGGCCAGGCGCCGGGACTCCGGGGTTCCCGGTGGAGAGCGCTTTGCGTAAACAGATGGTGGGCTGTCTTTGTCTTGCTCGCTTGCTCACCACGCAGCTCCCGGCTCCGCTTCTGTCTGGCTGATGCAATCATGATCATCTCGGAGCCTTGGAACCCGGCGCCCTTAATAACAGCAGAGGGGGTCGGGGCCCCGGGGCTCCCGAGCAGATGCTGGGTTCTGTGTCTTTTCTCCCGGGCGCCCCTCCACGTCCAACAGCCGCAGAGGGAAGACCAGCACCACTCGGAGGTGACGGCAGGTGGAGGTGACCAAGAGGAGAACCCCGGGCAGTGCCCTGAGGTGTCCCCGGGCTGCCCCGTTGGACTGGTGCAGTCCCCAGAGGCAGCAACCCAGAGAATAGGAATATAGCTGGGGAATGGGGTAGGGGAGAGACAGAGACAAAGAGAGTAATTAGTAAAGAGAGACACAGTGAGATGGAGAGATGTGGAGGGAAGAAGTGAGACACAGAGAGAGACAGAGAAACCGATGCAGAGGGACAAAGCCAGGTAGGGAAAGCGGCAAGAGGGAGAGCAGACAGACACAGCCAGAATGCTAAGAAAGAGAGAGATGAACATACCCAGAGAGGGAGCAGACAGACACACCGCCCGAAGAAGAGGCAGAAAGAAGGGCAGCCAGGGGCTAGGACAGGCCGGGTCAGAGGGCAATCTCGAATCTCCAGTCCAGAAGCAGAGATAAAGCCCCCGCCTCCCCGGTCCCCAGGCATGAACCCGCCTGAACCCTGAGTGCGGACTGCGGCTGGCGAGGCAGGAGCTTCCGCGTCCCCTCTCCGCCCTCCGGTACCATCTCACACCAGAAGAGTGGAGGCTGCGGGACCCACTGTCTTGGCGGCGGGAGTGGCGGAGTGACGGGCTGGGCGTGGACGGACACTCCGGGCACCAACTTAGCGGCCCGAACGCCGGGAGTGCAGGGTCCCCACTGCCCGACAGGGGGTGCCCAAGGCCTCTTTCCCGAGCTTGGGGGCCGCTCGACCTCCAGGGGGCGCCCGTGCCCACGGCCCCAGCAACCCGTTCGATCCACTGAGTCCCGCTGCCTTTGACCCGCGGTGCAGCCAGCGCGCGGATTGAGATCCTGGTGCGGTTTAGCCCTCAGAGTCCAGTCCCAGCGGGATCCCTAATCTACAGCTAATGACCCCTGCGGTTCCCCCACCCCGCTGGGTCAGTCTCATGGTGAGAAAGTGTGGCGAGCGAGGAGAGAACCCAAGGAGTCCTGTGTTCTAGATCGGCCCCAGGGGCCACGAGCCAGAAACAGGAACCAAAGATGGAAGGGGGCTTCGAAATAAGTTCACAAAGACAGGGGCTAGAAGCAGGTGACGGGTCAAGGAGGGGCGGAGAGGCGGAGCGGAGGCAATAATGTAACGTTGCCGCTCGGTGAGCGCGGCGGAGGCCCAAGGCCGGAAGAACAGCGGCGGCTCTGGGAAAAGCGCGCGACAGAGGTGATGGGACCTGGCCGGGGTCACCGGAACTCAGACTAAGGGCACAAGGAGGCAGGCGAGGGCCCGCGTGCAAAGGCGCAAGGACCAGGCGCCCCTTCCGGCGTCCCAGCTCCCCAGCTGCGCCACCGAGAACCAGATGTGCAGCCCAGCTGTGCGGCCGCTCGAGCTGGAGCTCTGGGATTGCGTTTTGGTTCCAGAGACTGGAGGGCTGGGGTGCGCGGGTGACGGGACACGCCCTCCCTTCCCGGGCTCTGGGGGCGCGGGTTCTCTGGGAGGGCTGGGCTGGCGGAGACGCTGACACCTCGTCAGCCCGGCTCCCCCGCCCCACACACACTTCGCAGCGAGTCTCTGTCTCTTTGTTCTCGCCGTGTCTCTGACACTTTATCTCATTATCCGCCTGAGGGAGGCGGAGAGCCCGGGACCCCGCAGCCTAATTACAGCCGCGCTTGTCAGAGTAGGGGGCGGCGGAGGTATCGGCGCGAAGGAAAGGGAGGGGGCCCCAGAAAGCGCCCTCTCCCTCCCTGTACCCCGAGGATCCCAGAGACCGGTGAACAGCTCGCTCCCGCCCGCGCCTTCCACAGCCGGGCTCTGGAGGGGGAGGTGCGGGTGCTCCGCCGCTTCGGCTGCGAGCAGAGAGGGGGTGGTGGAGGTTAAAGTGGGAGCGGGGGGAGAGATTAGGCCTCGGCTCCTGCTTCCCCAAGATCCCAACTCCCCAGAGACGGGGGGCTTTGAGCCTCCCCACCCCAGCAGCACAGCACTCACCTGAGAAGGCTGAGGAGGCTGAGGACGGGGAGCCGCTCGCAGTTCTGTGTCTGCGTTTTGTTCTCTTTCCTACCAGCATCTTCCAGACCTTTCTGTTTCCCTCACTCCATTCCCTTCCTCTCCATCCCACAGCCAGAGGAAGAGGATGGCTTCCTTGGGCAGCTCCACCTTCACCCTACCCCAGGTAGGCAGAGCAAGCAAGTCTCTCAAGCCCCACTGCCCTGACTGTGGCGGAATAAATAAACTGGCTTATTCTAGCCTGATCCTGAGCCGCGAATAAGATACACCTGGTTCTTCCAGCCTCCAACCACGATTGCAGTCCAACCGCCACCTGGAGAAACCACTCAGAACAAGAGGGGCTGGGGCAGCTTTATGGTGTCGGCCTCTCTCCCTCCTTACCCCACTACACTGAGGAGGGGACAGAACCAGGGTCCTCAGGACCCGCTCCTGGACGGCTCCAGGGGTGTCAGGGAAGTGCTGCACATGCCCTCACTGGCCCTGGCCCCTCCTGGTCCCACCTGTGAACACTCCACACATGCATTTTGTTAAGTGCCTGTCCCACGGCCATCCCTCCTCCACATGGGGTCCTCCCTCTCCTCCTCCTCCAAATGGGGTCCTATGCCGATCAGCCTATCCCTCAGATGCTCAAAGCCCCAAGAATGATGGCGTCCCTTGGGCCAGGTACAGGCATCTGCAGGAGAGAGTCAGAGAGCAGAAACCTCTTGGCTCCCAGACAATTCCCTTCCAGGCTTTGGGCCTAGAATTGAGGAGAAAGTGAGCTAAGTGGGGGTGGGGCCAGGCTAAGCTGCTCTGGGCTGGGCTGATCCCTCCCCAGCCAGGGGGCGGGACCCCAGAAGGAGGGAGAGGGCAGAGCCATTGGAGAGGATCAGACACTGGAAAAGTGACATGGCAGGAACCAGTCTTGGGGGCCGCTTGTACCGGCAGATCAAAAGACATCCAGAGGTGAGTTCTGTCCTCAGAACCTCTGATTCTAACTCCTAACTCTCCTGCTGCCCCACCCTCCGAATCCTCCAGTGCCTTGCCTTGTGCCCAGGTCCCTCAGCGCTCCCAATCCTCCCCCAAGATTGTCTTGGTCTCTCTCCAAAACGTCCCTGTGTCCCACAAATCCACTACCTTGGACAGGATCGCTGTAGGGTGAGAGAGACCATGCCAGGAAATATGGTTGTAGGAGGTTCCAGGTCCCCTCTCCCGAAAGGGAGGGAGCAACAGACTCAGGGTGGGGTTGGGATGGGTGGAAAAGCTTGTAGAGTGTGACTGTGAACCGCGGGGAGAGGGCTGACCCCAAAAGTGCTCTCCATGTTCCCTGCAGCTCATCCCGATGATCAGCTTCATCTGCTTGGGCATGGGCAGTGCTGGGCTCTACTTGCTTCGACTTGCCCTGAAAAGCCCCGACGTCTGGTAAAGGGCGGGCTTCGGATGCTCTCAGGGGTCCTGGGCGAGGCAAGATAGGGTGGGAAGGCGTTCACCTCTCAGGAATGGTGGGAATAGGTGGCCCTAGTGGGGATCCCCAGCCCTGCTACATGCCCCTCCAACTGTACCGACTAGCATCTCAGGGCTGGAACCCACTGCTGACCTGGGAGACCCCTGCATTCCTTCCAGCCCACCTGGCCGCTCACTCCTCGGCTTGGGCCCCCCCGGAACTATGGAACCCTCGCCTCTCCTGGCCTGGTTACCATGACAACGCGCTCAGCCAGCGGCGGTCTCCGACTTTTGGGTCCCTCTGTCTGTGCCAGAACACTAAGGGTTTGGCTGAATGAGCTGCCAGGGGTGGCATTGGGGATTTCAGGGTGGCGCGGAGATTTCACACCCAGCTCTCAGAGGGGGTCCAGAAGTGAAAGGTGCACCCACCCAAGACTTTATAATTCCAGGCACACCACCAGAAACCCAGCCCCGTGGGATCTCTGCCTGATTCCCACAGCTCTGCTCTTGGGGTTAACCTAGGGTGGCAGGTAGCAAATGGGAGTCCCTGGGCCTCGTTGTGTTTGTCACCCAGCCCCATGCTGACAATGGTGACAGGCTTGTCTCACTTGACAGCACCCACTAATATGTCCCTTCCCTGTCAGTCTCTGGGAACTGGGCCCCCCAGGGCAGGAAGTGGGGGTACTGGGGTGGTGTCAGAGCCTCTGGCTGGAGCTTGGGTTCAAATTGGGTTAGAGTCCTGGGTCCCAGGGAGGAGACTCTAACCCTCCCTCCTCCTCCCACTCCACAGCTGGGACAGAAAGAACAACCCGGAGCCCTGGAACCGTCTGAGCCCCAATGACCAATACAAGGTACCTCGCGATGGCTCCAGGGTTGCCCCCATCCTCTTATCTCCTGGTCCTGAGACCCACAACTCCCTACTAGAAGCAAAGGGAGGCTTGGGACACTCAGTGCAACCCCTTTTCCTTCTCAGTTCTTTGCAGTTACCACTGACTATAAGAGCCTGAAGAAGGACCGGCCAGACTTCTAAGCCAGGCTGGGCGGCCAGTGCCATGCAAACCACGGACAGCCAGCCCACCCACCTCTACTCCTCCCCCAGACCCCTCCCCTCAAACGCCAAGGCGTCGGTCCGGCCACCCTGTCCTGATCCTGCTTACACAGGCCGGGTTCCCACGAAGAGGGGAGGCTGCTCCACCCCTACTCTCCTCCCCGACTCCCAGCAGCGGAAGCACCTCTGACCCTCAGCTTGAGTCCCACATGGGGGAGGGGGAGGCAGGCAGCGCCAGGAGGGGTCGACCAAAAAAACCCAAGCCAGCCCCTCTGCCGTCCTACGGGGCCTCGAAGGGTGTGGCACAGGCTACGTGTTGAGCGTGGTCTACGTGAGCCAACAAGAAGCAGGGGCCTCTGAGTGCCAAGCGACGTGGCGAGGTCCGCGTTAGCTCCAGCTCTGGGAGCCAGCCCAGGGGCGGCGCTGCTCAGCTTGGGCTGGTCCAGGGCCTGCCCAGGCTGAGGCACCTTTGCCTCCTGAGGCGCAGCACACTCCTCCCCTGCCCAAGCCTCCCGACAACAGCACCCCCTCTAGCCCCACACCTGGGCCTCCCCCTGCCGTTCCCCTCCCTTGCTCCCCACTGTCCCCAGGGATCAAACAGAAGCAGCCGTGGGCAAAATACAATTTCATTTAACAAATTGAATTTGCTGCGGCTGCTAATCACGTCTGGTGTCGGCTCTGATCAGAGACAGAGAGAGGAGGCTGCAGCCCCGGGGGTCTTTGCGGTGGAGGTGGTGGGAGGGAGGGGTGTACACATTGAGGGAGACAAATGACTGTTTGGCCCAGGGGACCCCACCCACAGTAATGGAAACTCAGGGCAGGTTGGCATTTTATTAGATAAAAACAGGAAGGAGAGTGCCCACCCACTCCTGCCTGCCACTGGCTCAGAAAGGCACTCGCCAACTTCTCCAAGAAAGAGTCTCTGACACTGCGATCATGACAGGGTGCCAGCAGAAAGCACCTGGGCCCTCCTAAGTCTTGTTACCAAAAAAGGAAAAAGAAAAAATCATCTCAGCTACAAATTCTGGGACAGGGACTACACCTGGCTCTTGCCCTAAGAGAGAGGTCTTCCCTCTCACACCAGAAAATAGAAAGGCTTTCTATTCCACTGGCCTAGGTGTGGGGAGGGATAGTAACTTCCAGTCTGTGGGCCTCATTTCCCAGGTGCCTTCAACGCTCATCAAAACCAGGCATGGGGAAGGCCCTGGCAAACTGCTCCACCCGTTGCCTGAGGTCGGCCAGACGCTGACTTGTTTCCGAATCTTTAAGCAGGAAGGATTTGAAATCCTGGAGCTTGGCTAGAGAGAGAGGGTGAGAAAACAAGTGGTCAGAGCTCTGGGGAAGGCAATGAGATGGGCTGGGGGAGACAGCAGACAGTGAGTGGGAACAGGCTGGCCCAGGGGGCCTTCTTGCCCACTCACCAGTCTTGCTCTTCACATCTAAGCCAATGTTGACCCCTTCATCTATAAAGTCCACAACTCTCCGGAAGTCATCCTCACGGAACTGTCGGGAAGTCAAGGCCGGGGCCCCTGGAAAGGGGCACAAGAGGAGGGATGAGCATAGCCCAAGGTTACCTGGCAGGCATCCAGCATGGGAACCCCTTCCCTTCTTAAATCCCAGGTCTCACCAAGCCGAAGGCCCCCTGGTGTGATGGCACTTCGGTCTCCAGGGCAGGTGTTTTTGTTGGCAGTGATGGATACAAGCTCCAGCACCCGCTCAGCACGAGCTCCATCCAGGCCCTTGGGCCGCAGGTCCACCAGCACCAGGTGGTTGTCAGTACCACCTAAGGCGGGTAAGAAATGGGGAGTGGTGAGTCCTGGGCCTTTGCCTGAAGCTATAGAGGCCCTCACCAATCCCATGCTGGCTCACCCGATACCAGTGAGTAGCCTCGCTGTAGCAGGGCATCCGCCATGGCCCGAGCATTCTTTAGAACCTGGAGGGAGTACTCTCGGAACATGGGGGTGCAGGCCTGGAGATGAGACAGTAGCAGCTGTGACCCCAGACGTGGACCCAAGCCCTGCACTGTCCTCTTGTCCCTGCACCCTCAGCATAGCTCTGGGACCCCAGACTTGATCCCTTCCATCTGTCCCAGCATCAGTTAGCAAGATGCAGGGTTTAAGCCTCCAGGCCACTGGCCCCCACACCCTACAGGGGCAGGATGCCGAACCTGCTTTAGGGCCACAGCTACTGCAGCAATGGCATGATTGTGGGGCCCCCCCTGCAGGGATGGGAACACGGCAAAGTTGATTCGGTCCTCAAATGTGTAAGGGATCTCCCGGCCAGTCTTGGGGTCCACAGCTTTCACCCCCTTCCGGTAGAAGATGAGTCCTGATCTGTGTGAGAGAGGTGGGTGGTCAGAATCTAAGCCAAAAAGAAGGACAAGGGACAGAGAAAGCAGAGGAAGCTGGCGGACCTGGGCCCTGAGGGCACACTTCATGTGGGCTTGGTACACTGGATTCCAGTGGTAGATGGAATCAGCCCCTCAATCCCATCCCCAAACTCCTTGCCAGGGCATGGCCACCATGGGCAAGAGAAGGAGAACTGTCACAGACTGGGCAGGAATCTTTAGGGCTGCAGAAAGAATTCCTCTTAGGTCCTGGCCAACAGTGCCCCAGGAATAGGCCAGAAGGCAGGAAAGGCAACGCCCGACCTCAGGGAGCCTGACCTGGCCCCTCGAAGAGTCTTGTGAGTAGTTGTGGTGACGACGTCCGCATGCTTGAAAGGCGAGGGGATCACCTTGGCAGCCACCAGGCCACTGATGTGGGCCATGTCTGCCAGCAGGTGTGCTTTGACCTCATCACATACCTGGGCAGGTAGAGAGGAAAGGGCTCAGCCTGGGGACAGCCCGGACAGGCCTGCCCAAGGCTGCCCTCCTCCCACACCTCCTCACCACCCCTGGGGAGGTGCCCAGTCTCCAGCCTCCCACCAACCTCTCTCATGCGGGCGTAGTCAATGAGACGAGCATAGGCACTGGTGCCAGCTATGATGAGCCGTGGTCGGAAAAGTCGAGCAGTCAGTGCCAGTTGGTCATAGTCAATGAGGCCAGTTTGGGGCTGGACAGACAGACAAAGAGCTAAAGCCCCGAGAAGGAAGCAGGGCAGCTCACTCTCCTCCTTGACCCTAAGGATGGCCCAGGGCTTCAGTCCCTCAGCCTCTCCAGGAGAGGACCACCACCAGGGCCGAGAGCCCCTCCCCACACTCTAGAGCACTCACGTTGAGCTTATAGGGCATAGACTCGAAGAAGATGGACGTGGCTGAGATCCGCTTGACATCAGACATGTAACCATGGGTGAGACTGGGAAGTAAGAGGAAGTAAGGAGGCCTGGGTGGAAGGAACCCCAGACTTAACTGCTCCCTTCAGCTCCACAGTTCTCTGGTCCCAGAACGCTGGTCCTAGTACACACCACCTCACTGCTCTGTCTACTCTGTGGTGGGTACTGTAACTGGGATCTTATCTTCCTCATCCACTGTGACATGCAGGACAGGGCAAAGCCTGTTCCATCAGTATAGTCCATAGTAGGTATTCAATAAATACCTGCTTTCCCACACCAATCCTGCCCACCAAGCCCATCAGCCAGCCCATTCATACTCACTGGCCCCCATCAGGCAGGTCCAGCCCCATGATCCGGTCGTGAGGTTGCAGAAGGGCTGTGTAGGCAGCCAGGTTGGCTGGGGACCCAGAGTAGGGCTGGACATTGACTCCCCACTGTGCAGGGTCCAGGTCAAAGGCTTCCAAGGCCCGGCGCTGGCACAGCAGCTCAATTTCATCCACCACCTCTGCTCCCCCGTAATATCTGCCATGGGAGAGGGGTAATGAGGGCACAGAGAAAGGACTCTCAACCAGCAACAAAGGACTGGGAAGTTCACTCCTCAATGAACACTGGGAAGGTACAGGTGGGTTCCCCCACTGGGAGCACCATCCCTGACACTGCCCTCCAGCCCTCACCTCTTGCCAGGGTAACCCTCCGAGTACTTGTTGTTCAGACAGGACCCCAGGGCCTCCAGCGCAGCTCGGCTGCAGAAGTTCTGGGGTGGTGGGGGGCAATGTCAGAAGGTATTGAGCCCCTTTCCCTGGACTCCCACAGTCCCTCCCTGCCAGAGAGCTGAAATCGGGAGTACTCCCTGCAGAAATTTCCATTCACTCAGCGCCAGGCCTGGGGCAAAGCCAGAGGGCAGCATTTTTCAGAAACCCAGCTGCCATGAGAGGTGGCCCCTCCAGGCTACCTACCGACTCAAACTTGTGCTTCTAGGCTCCTCTTTCCTTGTGGAAGGAAGGGGGAGATCAGATGAGACTGTAGGGACCCTGGAAGCTCCCCTAATGCGCCAACGCCATAAATTAGACTTGCCCTGCCTTTGCTTCAGAGAGGTAAGAAAGGAGAATAAAGCCCAAAGAAAGGTCCTGAGCGTGAAAGGTGTTCTGGAGAAATATCTGTTAAGGTAACTTCGTTACTTCCTGTACCCATGGTGGCCCAACCCCTGCCCATCTCCCGAGGTCCCACCTCTGAGGCAATGAGCTCCAGGCCTCGACACTGCCTGTCCTTCTCCCTCCGCAGCAGCTCCCACATCTCAGGGTCACTGTCTGACAGGCTCTCCTGGCCTGTCCAGCCCCTGTTTGCTTCCCCAGTCTGAGTCTGGGCTGCCTTGCTGTGCTGAGCCCGAATGGCCGTCCTGACCAGCTGCCCACATCTCTGCAGAGGCTGGAGGCAGGAAAAGTCAGGATGAAATCACAACAGTCCAGACAGATCGTTTCCTGACCACCCTCACTCATGCCTGTAAGGCCACACTGAGGAGCCAGTTGTCCAGCCAGCCTGTTTCAGTTCTCACTATCCTGACCTCCACCTTCAAAAGCCAGTTCTAGAGCCAGGCTTGAGATCAATGTCCAGGGGGTGGTTCTGATTTGTTCCATTCACTGCACTGCAGCTCAGAAATCTCCCACCACCTCACTCCATGAACCATTCTACAAAGCTTGTCCTCACGAAGCTATGTCTCCCCTACTCCAGAGAGGGCCACTGAGATTCCAGAACCTTCCCACCCACCGGAACAAGGGGGTCTTCCAGCAGGTCAGCATAAACATACCCTAGTCAATGGGGTGGGGGGCAGCGGGGGGAGATATAGAGTTGGCAAGGGCTGAGGCCACAGGCTGTAGAGCAATGGAGGTGGGAGGGTAGACCTTTAGCAGTCCCTGGGGAAGAGTTATGTGGGAGGGGAAGAGGTGGGGGTCTGTCCGAAAGGCAGCCAATACCCTGTCCCCTTACTTAGCCCCCTACTCCTTCCACCTCCTTCCAGCCCTCACTGCCGCAGGACCCCTGCCTGATGCAAGCTATGAGCCTCGGTTGCATCATCTGCAGGGCCCAGAGCTGGCCGGAAAGGCTCAGCTTGTGAGGCCAGGCCGAGAAATCCGCTCATTCGCCAGCACGGGGTCCTCGGGGCATCCGGCGCTGTCCTCTCCCCTAACGCCACGTGAAATGGGCGGTCACAAGGCCCTGGGGCGTCTGATCGCCAGAAGATCGCCAGAATGAGGACAGGTTCGCAGTTCACTCCACGCGTGCCCAGGGGTCTTGGGGATTCCCTAGTTACACGTCTGCTCCCTGAGGCCCCAGTCCACGTGTGTGCACAAGCCAAAAGAACCCCAGAGTTTGTGACTAGGAACTAAGGTAGGAGAAGAGCTTCCTTTTCACTGGTTACCTAGCATCTGGAGCCCCATTCTTACCCGAGCTGCCCATAGCAAAGAGAAGTACAGCATCGCAACTCGGAAGTCGCAGAAGGTCCAGCCACCAACTCTGGTCTAGGGCAGCAAGCTGTCGGAAGAAGACCGATCGGAGAACGCATGCGCGAGAAGAGCGCGCTGAGAGGCCAAAGCTAAAGGGAGGGACCTACGCATGCGTAATGGTGGCCGCTTTGTCACCTTATGGGAATTGTAGTTCTTCCCACTTTTTTCTCTACAAGTCCCGTCTGTAGCCCCAGGTTTAGAGGCCCGTGCCTGGAAAACAAAAAACAAACAAACAAAAAAACAGTCCAGTGCCGCCTTCTCTCCTAACTGTCCTGAAGCTTTTCAGGGTTTGTTTTCCTTCTGTCCATTTTCAAGACAAATGTTGATTGGGTGCCTACTGTATATCTAGCTAGCTTTATTAGACTCCAGGAGATCTGGACTCCCACACAAAATAGAGAACTATGGAGCACTGGAAAGCACCATGGTTTAGAAGGGTCAGAGACTTGACTTCAAGTTCCAGCTCTGGGACTAGCACATTAGCCTATGGGGGCTTCAGTTTCCTCCCTGGTAAAGTCACAAGAAAATACTGTGTGGTGGGGATTCAGTGAGGCTTTTCCTGTGAACCTGCGCTGTGATGGATTGTCCTTTCCTCTTCCTCTGACCCACAGACCTGCCTCTTCCAAGGTATCTCCTCTTTCTCTTCAGACATCTGGGAGCAGAGGGAGGCGCCCCTCCTGTTGTTCACTTATCGAATTTTGTCACCTGTGCACCTCTTGATGTCTCAGCAGTCAGTGGGCTCTCCTTTTTTCCCCAGGGCTATAGATCCTTGGGACTGGAAGGGATCTTCGTTTTAGCCTGACTTCATCTGGATGAAACCCTTGGGAGTAGGACTCATTGACCCCTCCAGGAAGAGGTTTCCAAACCTGGGTTGAAAACTATGATATAAATATGAGTGTGGGGTCTGCCTTCAGAGATTCTAATTCAATGGATCTCAAGGAATAGACACTTGCCCACCTATGCTGCCACACAACTAAACCTCTCCTCAGTGGTTCCGATAAGCCAACTTGGTTTTTAAAAATTATTATTATTTTAAAAAATGCTTTGGGCTGGGCATGGTGGCTCATGCCTGTAATCTCAGCACTTTGGGAGGCTGAGGCAAGAGGATCTCTTGAGGCCAGGATTTCTTTTTTTTCTTTTTTTTTTTTTTAATGAGACGGAGTTTCGCTCTTGTTACCCAGGCTGGAGTGCAATGGCACAATCTTGGCTCACTGCAACCTCCGCCTCCTGGGTTCAGGCAATTCTCCTGCCTCAGCCTCCCGAGTAGCTGGGATTACAGGCACGCGCCACAATGCCCAGCTAATTTTTTGTATTTTTAGTAGAGGCGAGGTTTCCCCGTGTTGACCAGGATGGTCTCGATCTCTTGACCTCGTGATCCATCCACCTCGGCCTCCCAAAGTGCTGGGATTACAGGCTTGAGCCACCGTGCCCGGCCAAGGCCAGGATTTCTAAACCAGCCTGGTCAACATAGTGAGACTCCCATCTCTACAAAATAAAAATTTTAAAATTAGTTAGACATGGTGGTATGTGCATGCAGTCCTGGATACTGGGAAGGTTGAGGCAGGAGGGTCAACCCAGGAGTTTAAGGTGAGCCATGGTCAAGCATCTGCACTCCAGCCTGAGGAAGAGAGTGAGACTGTCTCAAAAAAAAATTTTTTTTTTTTTTGAGATGAATTCTTGCTTTGTATCTCAGGCTGGCGTGCAGTGGCATGATCTTGGCTTATTGCAACTTCTGCCTCCCGGATTCAAGCAATTCTCCTGCCTCAGCCTCCGGAGTAGCTGGGACTACAGACACGTGCCACCACGCCCAGCTAATTTTTGTATTTTTAGTAGAGATGAGGTTTTTATCATGTTGGCCAGGATGGTCTCGATCTCTTGACCTCATGATCTGCTTGCCTTAGCCTCCCAAAGTACTGGGATTACACGCATGAGCTGCCGTGCCTGGCAAATAAATAAATAAATAAATAAAATTGTTTTTTAAAGGCTAGTGAAGCAGTGGGAGTGAAGAAGGTACAAAGAAACCTGTAACTGGTTTTGATCAATTAGTTGTAAACATCACTGCACTTGGACAGACTGATAACCAGTGGTTTTGAGAATCATTGCCTTATGTAGCAATGTTATTCATTCATTCAACAGACAGATTGAGCTGTTACTCTATGCCAGGCATGCCATATCCCTGGAGAGATATGAAGAGCTCACTGGCTGCTGGGATACCACGAGGTGAACAGGTAACAAAATGTGACAATGGTGGCTCACGTGGGCGCGGTGGCTCATGCCTATAATTCCAGCACTTTGGGAGGCCGAGACGGGTGGATCACAAGGTCAAGAGATCGAGACCATCCTGGTCAACATGGTGAAACCCCGTTTCTACTAAAAATACAAAAATTAGCTGGGCACCCCTGTAGTCCCAGCTACTCAGAAGGCTGGGGCAGGAGAATTGCTTGAACCCGGGAGACGGAGGTTGCGGTGAGCCGAGATCGTACTATTGCACTCCAGCCTGGGTAACAAAAGCAAAAACTCCGTCTCAAAAAAAAAAAAAAAGTGACTATGACAAGCAGGGGCACCTTACCCTGCTCTCAGATGTCCAGATGTATGAGGTAGAGGAGGAGGAAGAGGAGAAGATGCCTTGAAGAAGGCAGAGGGGATAACAATCCATCACAGCAAACAATCACAAGAAAAGCCTCATTGAATCCCCACCACACACTATTTACTGTGGCTTTACAAGTGAAGAAACTAAGGCCCAGATGGGCTAATTTGCTAATTCCAGCCATCCCCACCTGGCTCTCATACCAGGCCTTAGAAATGCCCCCTAGCTGGACCCTCCTTCCCTGCCACTGTAGGCTCGGCTTTTCTCAGGTGTTTCCAGCAATAAGCCTGGTGTTAGACTTCTGGGTTCTGCTTTTGGCCAGTCTCGGCTCCAGAACCATTCCCCATCTCCCTGCTCTCTTCAGTTGACCCTGTTATTCCTTCATCCAGCCAGCCAGCGATATTTATTTTCTGCTTACTGACTTTTCACTCCCAGATCTGTCTGGGTCAGACTCGGTTTCTGACTCAGTTTCAGGCTGCAGCCAGTGGGCAAGCCCCTGGGGAACACTGCCCTCCCAGTGGGCATCCTGACCCTGGACTCAAGGCAAAGATGAGGAGTTTCTTGGTGCCTCAGCTTGTCCGCGCCCCCTCCCTCCTCCAGCTAGGGGTCCCTAGGGGAGGGGGGCGGCTGAGCTGAGAACCGCTAATGAAGCCGCAGCCAATTAACGCCCAGGCCAGGGTTGGGGGCGGATAAAATTAGCAGCCTTGGCTGCAGGAAGAAGCCTGAGGCAGGGGTTGGGGGAGGGTGGGCAGTTGGCTAAAGAGGGCTGTGTTTGCAGGCGGCAAGTAGCGACTACGGGCCCCGCCTTCCAAACCGGCGCTGGTCCCTTCCCCCATCCCCTCATCCCAAAGCTCCCTCCCTCCCTCATCCGTCTGCAAACTCAGCGCCCACGAAATTAGGAAGGAAAAGGAAGATCGATGACTCCAGATGCTGTGAACACCGTTCCCCCCAAGCCTGCCACCTCCCGCCGGCCCCGCGGAGCTTAGCAGGTTGTCAGCACTCCGCCGACACTGTCCCTGCATCTCCATATCATTCAAGGTTTTACGCTTCCTTCCCCAAATCGTCCCAAATAGTTCGCTGATGATCCCCACTTGGGTCTCATCTCCATCTCACCTGCTGCAGCTTCCCTTCGCCCACCTCAGGGAGGAGAATCCCAACCTCAGGCGGGCTCCTACACCGAGGGTAACGCTCAGCTCTCTTTTATCCGGTCTTTGGTGACTTCCAAAGTGTTAGCTCTGTCAGGCTTTGCCTTGGTTTCCCCACGAGCCGCTGAGGGAGAAGACCCTGGCCAGGTCTCTACCAGACAGAAGCCCACACCACATCCCCCATTCCCTACAAAGGTCTCACACAGGCGCGTATTGGATTTCACTTTATTTTGTTCCCTTTCTCGTCTGTTTTGGCATAGAAAAAATATCACCGAGAGGAAGCAGCTGGAGAGGGCGGGTGGAGCTGGACTGCAGGGACTGACTGGAGGGAGGCGGGTAGGGGTCGGGCCAGGCCAGCGCCTCAGCCCAGGAGTTCTGCTTCCACCACCCTAACGGGGTTTGGAGGAAAAGGGGACAGGCATATAGCAGGCAGAAAGGTGGGAGGACAAGCCAGGGTTTTTAGGCCTTTACAGTCTTAGGCAGGCAGGGTGGAGCAGGACAAGGTGCTGGGGGGTAGGAAAGTCAGGGCAGGTTGAGGGTGCCAGGCCAGGAGTTAGTAAAGCTGCGGGGGGAGGGGAAAGGGAGTGCCCAGCCTAGCGCCGAGGATGAAAAAGGGACTCAGTGTGGACCTAGGGGACACTGGGACCACCGCCAAGCCCCGCCTATTCTGGGGCTGCACTCTTACCCCTTTCATTTTGGGGTGTATTGGAGGGGGCTACCCCAGCCTCTTGGGCACTCCACATAAGGAAAAGAGCACCCACGCTAGCTGAGGGTCCCGAGAGGGCCGTTCCCCTCTACCCCCAGAGTGGAAGAAGTGGGGCCAAGGGAGTGGCAGAACACGGGGTGGGGGGGGTTCCCACCTTGTGAGGCTGGGATTTGGCGGGAGGCTCGGGGCTGGGGAGGGGCGCTATCCGAAGTAGGGGTGCTCACTCTGGAAGTTATAGTCTGGGCACACCTTCTGCACCAGTTTGTAGTCAAAGCTGAGGAAAGAAACGAAGATACAGATGACTTTGAAGGGCTTGGCACAGAGCCAGGCGGCCTGGCTCTGCGTGTGCTCGGTGAAGCACACCTGCGATGGGTCGTACAGGCACGGGCGGTGCTTGCGCGCGCGGTTTGTCTTCTCATACTCCACGTGGCAATTGAAAGCGCGCGACTCTTTGGCCCCTGGCACTCCCAGCGCGCCGCCAAGCGGCCCCGCCAGTGCGCCCCCGAGGGAGCCCCCAAGCCCCGGCCCTGCCGCTGCGGCAGCCGCCATCCCCAGCGGGGGCCCCAGCCCAGGAAGCACCCCCTCCAGGGCGAGCGTAGACTGCAGAGGGTGGGGGGCAGGCCCGGGCAGCCAGACTCCCCCGAACTCGACACGCTTGGAGGGCGGCACGATGCTGACACTGAGATTGCCCAGGCTGGACGAGTTGTGGCGGAAATACACACTGAAGGTACCGTTCACATGGTCCACGATCTTGCCGGTCACCAGCAGTGAAAACTTGAGAGTATGCACCCGAAAGTAGAAGTCCCCCC